ACTGTCAGGAAGGGGGTTAGCCGTAAGGGAAAAGACATGCCCACCTAACTCGACGCCGGGTCGAACCGAGCCCACCAGGGGTCCGAGTCCCCGGCAACGGTACCCCAGGTCCTGCCCTCGCCAGCGCCCCTTGGCTCAGCTTCCCCACGCTGCGCTCCTGGCGCCTACTTCTTCGGAACCTGCATCCCCCACTCGGGGCGCCTGTCCCTCCGGTGACCTGGCGCCCGTACCTGGCAGCAGCAGCAGTAGAAGCAGCAGTGGCAGCGGCAGCGGCGCCCGGAGCGGGGAGAGCCCCTGGGCGCGGGCTTTGCGCGGGCGAGTGCCCATGGCTTGTCGGCCGGCCGGCTGCAGACTCCGCGCGGCTGGGCGGGCGGCTTGGGGTGCTCGGCAGGCTGGAGCTCCTGGCGGATGCAGGCCGAGGCAGCCCGAAAGGTCCGGCGCGGGCGCAGCGGTCGGGGAGACAACCTCGCCCCGCCTGGCTCCCAGCGCAGACAGCCGACAACTAGCGGTGCGAGTGGCGCGGACGTGCGAGGCTCTGTGCGCGGTGGGGCGCTGGCTCCTCCCGCTCTCACGCAAATCCTCGGGCTCTGGGCCCCCCGCCCACCGCCCAGAGGGTCTCGGAGCACCCGGCTGGCGTACCCGGCAGAACCCGAGTGGAGCTTCCGGAGTCTCAGGAGTAAGGCGGGGCGGACGGAGGAGGTTCGCTCGCACCAAAGGGAAGGGGCTAGGGGTCCCTAGCTTCCTGTGCGGGGTGATCTCATCCCTCCCTTTGTGCCCTTTGTAGCCCCACGGACAGCTCTGCACCGGACTCGATCTGAACAGGTACTTCCGTGAGGAAGAATAGGGTTCGAATCTCTGTCCTTGGCTCCTGGGGCGTGTGTCTGCAGTTGGGGACCGCTAGGCAGGTCCACCTGAGGTTCTAACACGCTCTCAAAATGAGACCTCAAGAATTTGACGCTATTAAGTAATTGTTTAAAAACATTTTAAATGTTAATGATATTTAGTTGGCTTTCAAAGAGTCCTCATATTTAGGTAGGTGTATTGGAGTCAACTGAAACAACATTGGTCGTGAGTTGATCATTGTTGAGGCTGGATGATGGATACCTGGAGGTTCGTTATACTATTCTCTTAGTATATGTTTGAAATTTTCCTTAATAAAAAGTTAAAAAAAAAAAGGCTTCTAGATGTAGCCACCAGAGGGTGCACTGCTTCTCCACCCCTGCTTCCTGCACCCTCCTGTTGAACCCCGTGTCCCCCATCTGCAACCTTGGGCCGCCCCAAGGACGTGCTGCCCTTGGCCTCTCTGGCCATCCGCCAGGATCACGGTGGGGGAAGCCTCCCACCCCTCCCCCACCCCAGGCTTTCTTGTGGACCCTTTATCACAGGAAGAAGGAATTTTGTGGTAAACCCTCCTCTTGGCATCCCAGCAAATGGTGAGTCCTTTATTATTTCTACAACAGGCCACCTACCTAAAAAGGTGAGACATTTTGCAGGACCCAGAAAATGTTTGCAAGGATTGTGGCCCAACACTCAGGCCCCCATTTAAAGCATTTTATTCTCCTGACAAAAATTCCTCCCTTCAGAAAATATTTTCAAATCACATATCCAACAAAGGATTTGTATCCAGACTATATAAAGACCTCAAAACTCAACAGTAAGTATGAACAGATATGAGGGATCTTATTGGGGTGATGAAAACATTCTAAAATTGGATTATGGTGACAAACTTAACTAAAACACACTGTACACGTGAAATAAATGAATATCATAGAATGTAAATTATGCCTCAAAAATTGTTTAAAAAACTGAAACACACACACAAACAAAAAAGAAAAAACCCTCAACAATGAGAAAATAAACCTAATTTTAAAATGAGCAAAAGAGTTAAACAGACACTTGACCAAAGAGAACATATAGAAGGCAAATAAGCATATAAAAAGATGTTCGCTATCACTAGCCATTAGGAAAATGCAAACTAAACCCACAGTGATATACCATCCACTAAGATGGCTGAGGAAGCCCTGATGGCACAGTGGTTAAGAGCTCGGCTGCTAACCAAAAGGTCAGCTGTTCTAATCCACCAGCTGCTCCTTGGAAACCCTAGGGGGCAGTTCTACCCTGTCCTATAGGGTCGCTATGAGTTGGAATCAAATCGACGTCAGTGGGTTTGGTTTTTTCAGTAAGATGGCTAAAATAAAAAAATACTGAGAATACCAAGTGCAGATGAGGGTGCAGGGCAACTGGACCTTTCATACATTGCTGGTGGGAATGAAAAACGGTACAACCACTCTAGAAAATAGTTTGGCAGTTTCTTACAAAATTAAACAGGCACTTAACAATAAACCAAAAACCAACTGGCATCAAGTCAATTCCGACTTATAGTGACCCTACAGGACAGAGTAGAACTGTCCTGTAGGGTTTCCAAGGAGCGGCTGCTGGATTTCAACTGCCAACCTTTTGGTTAACAGCCAAGCTCTTAACCACTGCACCAGCAGGGCTCCTGCACTTACGATAAGACCCAGCAATCATACTCATGGGTATCTGGAGAAATGAAAATTTTGTCCACACAAAAGTCTATATGTGAATGTTGATAGCAGCTGTATTCATACTCTCCAACAACTGGAAACAATTGAAATGTTCTTCAACATCCATACACTAGAATAGACTGCTCAGCAATACAAAGGTGCAAACTATTGATACTTGCAACAACTTGGATGAGTTTCAAAGGCATTATGCTGAATGAAAGAAGCTAGTCCTCAAAGGTTACATACTGTATGATTCCATTTATATGGCATTTTGAAAAGACAAAAAGATCAGTGATTGTCAGAGGCTAGGGTTGGGGGGAGGTGTGACTAGAAAGGAATAAGCAAGAGGGAGTTTTTTGGTGATGAATCTTAGTTAGCTAGTGCTGCTATAATAGAAATACCACAAGTGGGTGGCTTTAACAAACAGAAATTTATTTTCTCACAGTTAGGAGGCTAGAAGTCCAAATACAAGGCATTGGCTCTAGGGGAAGGCTTTCTCTGTCGGCTCTGGGGGAAGGTCCTTGTTCCTCGGTTCCTTGGTGATGTTCATGTTGTATGGTATCTTCCCTCATCTCTGCTTGCTTCTCTGTACCTAATCAGCTTGGTTTATATCTCAAAAGAGATGGATTTTAAGACACACTCTACACTATTACTGCCTCATTAACATGACAAAGAAAACTCATTCCCAAATGGGATTATAACCATAGGTATAGGGGTTAGGATTTACAACACATATTTTTGGGGGAGGCAATTCTCTCCATAACAGATCTCTCTGGTATGCTGATTAGTAAGGTGGTAACATTGGAAAAAAAGAGGTTTTTTTCTTTTTTTGTTTTTTTAGTTTTTAACAACTTTTTGAGGCATAATTTACATGATGGTTGTTGCATGAATCTATACATGTATTAATATTCGTAGAACTGTACATCCAAAAAAAGTCAATTTTATCAGATGATAGTTTTTAAAATAGAATTTTTTAAAAGTTCTTCATTACATAAATATTTTGAGTGCCTACTATGTGCCAGGCACTGTGAAAGAGTCTATGGGAGGGAACGGAGGGGTTATAAAATCAGAACATCTGTGAGAGAGACAGACCTGAACCCAGCCAAAATACAGAGCAGGAAGTGGCAGACTCGTGGGATCACAGAGGAGGGAGCCATTCCCTTTAGGGAGAGTTTATTAGTTCCCTAGGGCTGCCATAACAAAGTACCACAAACTGGGTGGCTTAAAACAACAGAAATTTATTCTCTGGAGGCTGGAAGTCCAAATTCAGGGTGTTGGCAGGGCTACGCTCTCTCTGAAGGCTCTAGAGAAGAATCCTTCCTTGCCTCTTCCAGCTTCCGGTAGCCCCAGATCTTCCTTGGCTTGTGGCACATCACTCCAGTCTCCGTCTTCACGTGGCCTTCTTCCCTCCACATCTGTCGCTGCATCTCTTCCCATAAGGACACCAGTCATACTGGATCAGGGCCCATCCTAGTCCAGTATGACCTCATGTTTTAACTGATTACATCTGCAAAGACCCTATTTCCAAAATAAGGTCCCATTCACAGGTACCAGGAGTGAGGACTTGAACATATCTTTTTTGGGGGACACAGTTCAACCCATAACATGGGCAGCCAGGGACAACTGCTCAGAGAAGGAGGTGTGTGAGCTTGAAGGATGAGCAGGACCCATCTATTCATTCAGTCAACAAACATTTATTGAGCACCTACTGTGTGCCAAGCTCTGTCCTCAGCCCTGGGGATCCCACAGTGAACACAAGGGACCAGGATGCTGCTCTCATGGAGCTCACACTCTAGTGGGTGAGGCACCATCAACATGCCACCAAGTAAGAGCTTCAGGTGCCGAGCAGTGTGTGAGGAAGGTGGTGGGCAGGGCAGTCATGGGGGAGGCGGCTTTAGAATGGGTGCTTAGGGAAGGCTTCTGGGAGGAGGTGGCATTGGAGCAGAGCCCTGGATGGTAAAGCCGTGGGAAGAGCTGGAGAAAGAGCTTTCCAGCTAGAAGGAACAGCAAACGCAAAGGCTCTGAGCTGGGAGGGGTCCTGGAGTGTTTGACTGAAAGAAGGCCAGCCTGGCTAGAGCCTAGTGGGCAGGGAGGAGGGAGGGAGGTGTGGGTGGAGAGGTCATCCAGGGTGCGGGCAAGATGTCCAGCACATAGTAGGTGCTGTTCTTATGCTCATCTCTATCCCCAGAGCCTAGAGCAGGGAAGGAAGACAGGCTTCGATTAAACTGTCCGAAGCCCACACCCTCTGCCAGAGTTTCCCAGGGTTCCTCCAAGGCCTTTGGAGAGGACAGTCCAGGTCCCCCTTCCTCGCTCCTCCCACAGTCGTGGCCAGTTTGATGAGGTCAGTGGCCAATGGTCACATATTTATTTAGACCCTCATCAGCAGTGACCCAGAAGGAAGCAGTCAACTGCCCACCCGCCCACTCACATCACCTCACCCTGCACCCCTGCAGGCCTGTGGACACGCAGGGCAGCCTAGGGCCCCTCAGTAGGCAGGTGGGTCTGGAAGATGGGAGGCAGGAAGAGCCCCACGGTGCCCAGCACACACACAAACACGAATACCCACAGGAACAGCCGGTCAACCACCATGGCCACGAACTTCCAGTCCTCAATGACCTGCGGGCAAACAGAGGGCTGGTTACAGGTGCCGAGCTCTGGGGTCTTCCCTGTTTTCCCTCACTTACCCCATCTCAGGCCCTCACTGTCAGGCCAGGGACCCCACAGGCCACAGGCTTGGAACCACATGCTGGAGCAGCAAGTCTGAGTCTGAGGCTAATCTCTTAGCTGGGCAACTCTGTGCCTTTCAGTGTCCTCAAACTTAATGAAACAAATCACCCCTACCTGCCCCCCACGGCATTGCAGAGCGGTTGGGAACTGGGCTGTTCAGAAGAGTTAGGAATGTAAGGAGTTATTAATATAACATATTGTCATCTGAAAACCCAACCTGATTTATAAGGGGGCTGATGCCTGAGGATCACAAGCCCTTTCCTCTCATTTTCCTCCCAAACCCTCTGCCTGAGCGGCTTCTGCCCAAAGGAAGGTTTGGGGCCCACCCAGCTCGGTGGGCAGGGCAACAAGGGCCTGCAGGACACCTGGAAATCAGGCTGCTTAATTTGCTCAGTTCATTAACAGTAACCAGTTGTCCTTGTGTCAATTCCAGCTCAAGGCAACCCCAGCTGTGGCACAGCTGAACTGTGCTCCATAGGGTTTTCTTCCAGTGGGCTTTCTTCTGAGGTACCTCTGGGTGGGCTGGAATCGCCAACCTTTCAGTTAGCAGCTGAGGGTGTTAACTGTTTGCCCCACCCAGGGACTCCTCACTGACAGTAGTACCTGCTGTTTCCTGTAATTAAGACGCAGCCCCTCCTTTTCCATCATCGGGGTTTCTCTCACTCCTGAGCCTCCTCCAGGTGTGGATTACCCAGTAAGCAAGGTATGCATGAGCTCACTTGTGCTAATTTACTAATCTGTCCTGCACAACGTCACATGGGTTTCACCACATCACTGATGTTGAAAAACAGGTGAAATTGTGCAGGACAGATTAGTAAATAAGCACAAGTGAGCCCGTGCATACCTTGCTTATTGGGTAATCTGTCCCTGGTCTTCTCAGACCCCGCTGTCAGGTGTGAAGTTGGCAGAAACCTGGCTGGCCTTCAGAGGTGCCATCACAGACGTGCCCAGCCCCCTTAGTGCTGGGGGAGACACCGAGAGACCTGTGTGCCCAGCACCCTGGCCTCCTGATGCCTGCTTTCCCTCCTTCACCCATCTGGATCATGCTGCATACTTTCCTGGTAAGCATGGCGGGACCAGAGGATTCAGCAGAGGCTCTGGAGCTGGGAGTGTGGGTGGCAATGGGCAAGCTGACATCAGTGACCCAATTCATCAGGGCCAGTCAGTGGCATGTGTCTACCCTCCAGGATAATCCAGTTGTGAGCCAGCATCTCCACCCCCTCACCCAACATGCATGATTCCCGTCCCTAAGCTGCAGTAGGCTCTCACACAGAGCTCTCCTCAGCTTCCTTGAGTTTCTTTTTGACATCCCTAATTTCAAAGGGCTTTTTTTTTTTCTTTTTCGTGCCTTTTCCCCCTTTTTATATTTTTTGCTATTTATAGTGACCAGCTAATCACCAGCGAGAGTGAAAGTGCTGAAGATGAGAAACACAGCATGGGCTGGCTGAGGGGTGGGCATGCTCTGGAAGGGAAGAAAGCCTCTTTCACCAGCTAGACACGAGAAAGTCAATCACCCAATAAGTTCTCCATGTGCTCAGTGCAGAGCAAGGCACTGGGAAGGGAGGGCAAGAGTGTAAGAATGTCAGAAAGATCTGGGTGTGGAGCTTGGCTCGGCCCTGTGCCAGCTGTGTGACTCTGGGGAAGTCAGTGAACCTCTCTGAGCCTCACTTTCCCCCTTGTAAAATGGGGATTTGAGTAAAAGCCACTGCACAGGTGTTACGGATTGAATTGTATCCCCAAAATATGTTGAAATCCTTACCCCTGTACCTGTGCCCCTGTTTGGAAATAGGCTTTTCTTTTGTCATGTTAAGGAGGCCGTACCAGAGTAGGCTGGGTCCTAAACCTAATCCCTTCGGAGTAAACCAAAACCAAACCAAACCCACTGCCATGGAGTTGATTCCAACTCATAGAGAGTGATCCTTATAGGTCAGAGTAGAACTATACTCCATAGGGTTTCCAAGGAGCACCTGGTGGATTTGAACTGTTGACCTTTTGGTTAGCAGCCATAGCTCTTAACCAGTATGCCACCAGGGTTTCCCTCTTCTGAGTAGTGTCTTATAAAAAGGGAAAACAAACACACACAGGGGAAGACAGACACGAGAGAGAGAGAGAGAGAGAGAGAGAGAGGGGGAGAGAGAGGGGGAGAGAGAGAGTGTGCCTAGCCCTGCTGATGCCCTGATTTCTGACTCCTGGCCTCCAAAATGGAGCCCTGATGGTGCAGCAGTTAAGAGCTCGGCTGCTAACCAAAATGTTGGCAGTTCAAATCCGCCAGCTGTTACCTTGAAAACATATGGAGCAGTTCTACTGTGTCCTATAGGGTCGCTATGAGTCAGAATTGACTTGACGGAAATGGGTATGGTATGGGTAGCCTCCGACACTGTGAGACAATAAATTTCTGTTCTTTAAAGCCACCCACTTGTGGTATTTTTTGTTACAGCAGCCTTCGGTAACTGAGACAACAGGGTTCCTGGGAGAGTTAGCAGTGATGTATGTCAGGTCCTGGCAGAGTGCCTGATGTGTGGTCAAGGCTCAGTGAACATTGGCAATTATAACAACAGTGGGTCCTGCCTGGCCCCTTCCTGCTAGAAACAGCAGGAGGCCCGTGAGTGCCAAGAGGGTGGTGAGTCTTTTAGAAGGGCGAGCTCAGAATGAGTGCTGGCTCAACCAGGGGTGCAGGACGGGGATCAGCACTTCTCAAACTGTGAGGTGCACACCAACCACCAGAGCCAGTTGCCATCGAGTCGATTCCAATTTATGGTGACCCCATGTGTGTCAGAATAGAACTGTGCTCCATAGGGTTTTCAGTGGCTGATTTATCAGAAGTAGATCACCAGGCCTTTCTTCTGAGGCTTCTCTGGGTAGACTCCAACCTCCAACCTTTCAGTTAGCAGCTGAGTGTGTGAGCTGTTTGTACCACCCATGGAGTGTATGAACCACTGGAGAGCTGGTTAAAAATGCAGGCTCGATTGCAACCAACGTCACAAAACAATATATGTATAAATTTTTAAATAAGAAATTAACTTCAGCTATAAACTTTTGCTTAAAGTACAATCAAACAAAAAAAAATGCAGGCTCCTGGATGCCTCCCCCAGAGATCCTGGCTCCCTCGGAATGGGCAGCCCCGGAAGCTGCATTTTGAAAAGTTCCCCAGGGGGTTCTCATTTAGCCAGCAGGGCCCCAAGCAGCACACTGATATTTGGGAGCCAATGAAACTGAGCTACTGAATGATTTTAAATTAGAGAATAACATGATCAAATTAGTTTTTTTAAAAAGTGCAATCTGACAGTAATATAGATCTATGCTTCTCAAACGGTAACATGCCTACGAATCTCCTAGAGATCTAGTTAAAATGCAGATTCTGACTCCGCAGGTCTGGGGTAGGGCCTGAGATTCTGCGTTTCTAACAAGCTCCCACGGAGCCCTGGCAGCACAAACGGTTAAGTGCTCAGCTGCTAACTGAAAGGTCTGCAGGGAAAAAGCGACTCTGCGGGAGAAAGACCTGGCGATTTGCTCCCATAGAGATTACAGCCAAGAAAACCCTATGAGGCAGTTCTACTCTGTCACATGGGGTCACTATGAGTCAAAATCGACTTGCTGGCACCTAACAACAAGCTCTCAGGTAATGCTGATCCTGCTGGTGTGGGGACCACACAGAGTAGCAAGGGCGGAGAGGAATATCTCATGTCCTACATTCCGTGTGTTAGCAATTCTCTTCTTTCCTTTTTATGGTATAATTTTGGAGCTTTCCCAGCCGGCTCTTTTCTCTCAGTGCTAACTAATGGAATCCCAGAGCTTTCCCTTGAGAATGTACCGAGCAAAAAGGAATCTCAGAAAGATAAGAGCGAAGAGATGTCCTCTTTGTCCCCATGCAGCTGCAGAGGGGGAGACACCATGTTGTGTCATAAAAACCTGCTCAAAGAATCTGATCTGATAAGGTGTTGAAATGAGAACATTCACAAGAGCATGAAGCTTCTTCCCCTGCCTAGGATGGAAACGTGTGTGAAAATTTCTGTTACCATCGTGTTCTGTGGTCAGTTATTATGAAATTGCCCTTAGAAGTGTTATTTGTTCAAAGGAGTCGTTTGAGACTCCACACTTCAGTGCTCGTTCCTTTGTCCTGCAAAAATCTGTAATTCTAGCCATCCTTCTTGATAATTTGTTTCCCTAGTAGCAATAGTATTTTAATGGACGTTTCTATACTCCTAAAAGCTATCAATCCTTGTATGGCTTCTTTGCAAGCCGGAAGAGGACGGGAGCAGATGCCCTGGCTGCCCAACCCACCTGCGTTCCCTCGAAGTAGGGCATCCATCTCCAGCCTGTGGCAGCCTCCCACTTCAACAGCCTGCATCTCCCTGCTTCTCTGCAAGAAGTGCAGGGAGTTAATATCCCCAGGGCTGCCCTCAGCCAATGGGGGATGGGAGCTGGTGGGTAAATACTCCAGCCTCCCTCTAGTGGGATGACTCTGCAGCTTGTTCCACATGGTTCCTCAGAAGGCTCCCAATGGGACTGAGCTGCCGTAGGCCACAGCAGTAACCTGCTCATTGATGCCCAATACTGGCTTTCCTTCTGTCCCTCTCTCACTTTCCCCACTCCGTCTCTGTGCTCCCTGGGATCACCTCCCAAATAAACACCTGTACCCAAGCCCTCATCTCAGGGTCTGCTTTTGGGGCAACTCAATACAAACAGACAAAAAAAGATCATTGGCACTTCTTTCTTACCGCCCCCCCTCCTATGCATGACGCTATAATAAAACTCATGACAGTTTTGGATTCCTTATTCAAAAAATTTGAGAGTCCTCAGAGTCCCTGGATAGTATAAACAGTTAATGCCCTTGGCTGCTAACAGAAGGGTTGGAGGTTCGAGTCTACCTAGAGGTGCCTCAGAAGAAAGGCCTGGTGATCTACTTGCAAAAATTCAGCCATCGAAAACCCTATGGAGCACAGTTCTGCTCAGACACACATGGGGGCACCATGAGTTGGGGACAACTCTGAAGCAACAGCAACTGGTGTGTGTGTGTGTGTCTCATTAACTGTGGGTAATGGGAGACTGGTGATAGTATCTGGGCTCCTTCCACCAGGCAGGTGGGCAGGGGCTGGCTAATGACTTACACTCTGGTCTTGATCGTCACTCTTCATGTGCTGGGCTATGAAGCTGACACCATCCAAGGCCTCCCGAACATCCTGCCGGAACCTCCCAGAGGACCTCAGCCGGAAATCCCTGGGGATTCCTGCAGAGTCGACCCCAACTGGAGACTTGGGAGCTGCAGAGGCAGAATTCACAAAATACATGGAGTTCTCGTAGAAGTTGGAGGGGCTGTTAGGGCCCACGGCAGAGGAGGTGGCCTCGGTCTTGGTCAGGTGCAACTGACTGAGCTCTGGGGCCCTGGTGGGGCTGCTGTTGGGGCGCTTCATGAAGAGGAAGGTGGGCAGCTTGTATAGGAAGCAGCGCTTGACCCAGGGTGCCATGATGTGAGTGCTGGGTGAGCGGTGGTGCACGTTGAGCACACAGACGCTAGTGACGATGGAGAAGGTGACCAGCACCATCGTGAACATGAGGTATTTGCCAATGAGCGGCACATCCAGAGAGGTGGGTGGCACAATCTTAGAGATGAGCAGCAGGAAGACAGTGAGGGCCAGCAGCACGGAGATGCACAGCGTCATCTTCTCACCGCAGTTAGAGGGCAGGTAGAAGACAAGGATGGCCAGTGAGGTGATGAGCACACAAGGGATGATGAGGTTGATGGTGTAGAAGAGTGGCTTACGTTTGATGATGAAGTCGTAAGTCACGTCCACATAGCTGGGGTCCTGTGGGTTCACTGTCCTTCGCCCTGGGAGGGCCAAAATGTCCCACTCACCACTGGGAGTAAAGTCATCTATGTTGGCCGTGGGTGTCTTGAGGACCATGTCAATCTCCGTGTGGTCGTAAGTCCAGGAGCGGAACTTGAGGGTGCAGTTCTGCCGGTCGAAGGGGAAGTGCTTCACCTCAATCTTGCAGGCGCTCTTGTAGATGGCAGGGGGCAGCCACAGGATGCTGCCATTGGAGCGGACCACCACGTTGGTGTAGACGGACACCTCATAGACCCCATCAGCGCTGGGGGCAGGGGGCAGGGCATGGAGGAGAAACAACATGATGAAACTCATGGACAAGGCCTGGCATGTTCTCAGAACTCCCCAAAGAGCCCTTCTGGATTATTTCCCACCAATTACGTTTCTATTCCCCTCACGGCCTGAAAGGAGCCTGTTTTCCTTGGCAGCTGCGTGGTGGAGAGGCAGTCTGAAGGCTTCACATGGAATAGCTCAGTTAAGCCTCACAATAGTCCAAATAAGTAGGTTTTATTATTATCCTCATTTTACAGATGGAAAAACCAAGGCTCAGAGAAGTTAAGTGACTTCTTGAAGGTTAGAAAACTAGTAAGTGGTACAGCTGGGATTTGAACTCAGGTTTGTCTGTGTGTAGACCACATACTCATAATCATTTCACATTACTGTCGGTATCATTGCAACCCAGGACGAATCTCTTTAGCTTCCTTTGCCTACCTAAGAGGTTTACACATATTAAGTCAGTGCTGCCAATACTGGCAAAGCAACTGAGGCTCAAAGAGATGGTATGGAGGGCAGAAAGGGCACTGGACTGGGGGACAGGAGGCTGGTCCTGGTCCCAGCTGAGCTTGAGTGAGTCAGAAAACACCCTACCCTCTCTGGGCCTCCACCTGTAACTGAGGGTGTTGGCTCTGCTCATCTTAATTCTTCCAGCCTAATGGCCTGAGCCTGGTGAAGCACAGATGGGGCCCAGGGCTGGACTCAAGACTGGAAGACCCCTAAAGGCTGGGCCTGCTGCTCCCATGGGGTCACCATAAGGCCCAGACCTTGGCCCACTTCCACCACTCACTTGTTATACAGCACGATGTCTGGCAGCCAGACGCGCTTTGCAGGGATCCTCAGGATGTTCACACCCTCATAGCGGGAGCTGTCCCAACTCAGGCGGTAATCGTTCCATTCCTGAGCAGACAGGCAAGGCCCTGTCACTTGTAGGTCAGTCACCACCAAGGGGCAGCCCTGGAGGAAACGTCTCCTGGGCTGGACACCCTGCAGGGCACTTACCTGTTTTAGCCAGATGTTGGTGGTCATGATCTGTTCTCGCTCATTCTGGGGAAGGAAATGGGGCTATCAGTTCACCAGGAAGAAGGAGCTCTCACACGTGGACCACACAAAAGGCTCTGAGCTCCACACTTAGGTGACCCACTGCCAACCCAACATCTCTTGAATGGCTCAGAAGTATTTCACACCCAGTGCATCTGAGACAAAGATCTTAATCTTCCCCCCAGCCTGGTCCTCCTTCAGCATCCCTGTCTCAGTGAATGGCACCCCCACCCCATCCAGTTCTACAAGGCAGAAACCTGGGAGTTATCCTGACACCTTTCTCTCTGATCCATCAATAAGTTCTGCAGATTGTATCGCCTACGTGTGTCTCAAATTTGTCTGCTTCTCTCCATCTCCACTGCCACCATCATCTGTCACTTGAACTACTGCAGTAGCCTCCTAGCTAGTCTCCCTGCTTTGCCCTGGCCTGCCTTTAGTCTATTTTCTATAGAACATCCAGGGTGATCTTATTAAAATCTAATCCCCTCAACCAACGTCATTTTACTCAAACCCTCCAGTGCCTCCCCGTCTCGCTCCAAGTAAAAGTTAAAACCCTGCCTATGGCCTGCAGGGCCCTACATGATCTGAAGATCAGTAGCTCTATAACCTTATGTCTCATCCCTCTCCCATTTGCTCATTCCACTTCAGCTAGGCTTGTCTCTTTGCTATTTTCAAACACACTCCTGCCTTTGCACAAACTGTTCCCTCTTCCTGGAAATCCTATGAAGGAGTTAGATTTTTATTCTGTATGCAAGGGAAGCCACGGAAGTGACCCAAGTGGGGATGAGATTGAGGGGAAAAGTGGCAGGAACTTTGGCAACTTCATTCTGGCTGTATATGGAGAATAGATGTAGGGTGGAGGCAGAGCAGAATGGGCATAGACCAGTTAGGGGAGCCTTGCAGTGGTCCAGGTAAGGGATGGATGATGGTGGCTTGGACTATTACCAAGTATCTAATATGTCTCAGATACTCTTCAGATACCCTCTGCCCTCAATGAAATTACATCCTGGTGGGAGGAGGCAGACACTACACAAATAAGTAGATGGTGTCAGGTGGCAATAAGTGCTAAGAAGAAAAATAAAGCAGGATAAGACAGAGGGGACGACAGGGGTGCTATTTTATGTGGAAAGGTCAGGGAAGACCTCTCTGATAAGATGACAGTTCTTTTCATTTTTGAAGGATATTTTTGCTGGTTGTAGAATTCTAGGTTTTCAGCTTTTCCTTGTAGCACTTTTAAAGTGTCATTGCATTTTCTGGCTTCCATTTTCAACTGTCAGTCTTATTGTTGCTCTTTTGAAGATAATCTTTTTTTTCTGGCTGCTTTCAAGATTTCCTCTTTGTCTTTGGTTTAGGAGTTTAAGTATGATGGATCTGGGTGTAGTTTTCTTTGTATATATCCCTCATGGGCATAGAGCCTCTTGAATCTGTAGCGTAATGTCTGGCCCCTTTTGGAAAATTCTCAGGCAGTGTCACTTCAAATATTGCTTCGGTCTTATTCTTTATGTCTTCTTTTTGGGGGACTTCAGTTACACATGTTAGACCTTTTTATCATGCTCCATATTATCTCCTTTTCTGTATTTTCCATCCTTTTTTTCTCTCTGGTTTGTCTAAATATTTTCTACTGACCTCTTTTCCAGTTCACTAATCCTCTCTTCTGCTGTGACCAATCTGCTATTAAACCCATCCAATGAGTTTTTAATTAATGTTTTTGTTTGTTTTTAGTGATAATATTTACCTTTGATTCTTTTTTCATGGTTATCAGTTCTCTGGAGAAAATCTCCATCATAATAATTTTCTTGAACATATCAATATTACTTTAAAATAATATTTACTTTAAAGCCCCATGTATGATAACTTCAATATCTGGGTCATCTGTGGATCTGTTTCTATTATTTGCTTTTTTCTCTTGGTCTTTTCTCATTTTGTCTTGTCTTATGACATGCTTAGTGAATTTTTATTTGATTTCAAACACGACCAGAGAGTATTTAATTTGACTTTATAGCAGACAGTTAGAGTAGGGACAGATCACATTAATCTAGTCAGTTACTGAGCTGGTTCAAAGTAGATTTCAGTTTTTGTGAGCTAGTCTATTTTTTATCCATTTTTACCTCTAGGGTGGCCCTTCCAAGGTCCCCATCAAAGCTCCATCTCCTTGGTTGGGCCCAAACACCAATATTTGTCATCTCTGCTCTGTGTGAGTGCCAAAAGTTCAGCTAGGCTTCCCTGACTCTTAGCCACCACTTTACACTCAGCTTCTTATTCTCTTTGTCCTATGTTAGGTGCTGTTGAGTCAGCTCTGACTCATAGTGACCCTATGTATAACAGAACAAAATGTTGCCTGGTCCTGTGCCATCCTTTCAATAGTAGGTATGTTTGAGCCCATCATTGCAGCCCGTGTCAATCCATCTCATTGAGTGTCTTCCTCTTTTTTGCTGACCCTCTATTTTACCAAGCATGATCTCCTTCCCCAGGGATTGGTCCCTCCTGATAACATGTCCAAAGTAAATGAGTCCCGTCTGCCAGTTTGTCGTGCCGTGGTGTTTTGTATGTTGCTGTGATGCTGGAAGCTGTGCCACTGGTATTTCAAATACCAGCAGGGTCACCCGTGGTGGACAGGTTTCAGCAGAGCTGAACAGGGACTAGGAAGAAGGACCTGGCAATCTACTTCTGAAAAAATTGGCCAATGAAAACTTTACAGATAGCACCAGAACATTATCTGATATACTACTTGGTCCTATACTGTTTATTAATTATCAGGTAAGGAGAAAAGCAACACACACTGTCAGGGTTACCTCACTGTGTGTCCTTGCCCTCCTGAATTCTGGCCCCTCAAGTCTTGGGAGTTCTCCAATACCTTCAAACAGATTTTTTTTTTTTTTTTTTTTTTTTTTACATATTTGTCCAGCTTTTTAAATTGTTCTTGTGAAAAAGTTAATCTGCAACGAGTTACTCTGCCGTTGCTGAAAGTTAAAAACCCTCGGTTGTCTTTAAAAGAAAATCTTTTTGTTAACTGAGGTATAATTTTGCATACTGTGAAATGTACAGATCTTAAGTGTACAGTTTGATTAGTTTTAACAAATGCATTACCTATGTAACCCACCTCCCTTTCAAGATATAGAACATTTCCATCACCTAGAAAATTCCCTTGTGCCTTAGTCCTGCCCCCCGCCCCCCCACTCTCCTTCACTCCCCCAGCAGTTGTTGAGTTGCCCAAGGACATCTGTCCAGGGCCCTGGACCCTCCAAAGAGCTGCTTCTAAAGGCCTGCTTGTCTTACCCGGCACAAAAGTCTTTGCCAGCTCCCCAGAAACTTCCATCTTTAAAATAGTTGTGCCCATAACCCTCCTTCCTCAAAACAAACAAACCCCGAAAAACAGAAGAAAAAGGAACTGCCTAAAACCTAATATTTGTTCTATACGCAAACTTTCAGGAACACGTCAGCTCACAGTGGTACTCGCAGGGCTTGGGGCTAGAAGCTGCATCTCCTCCTGCTGTGCTAGCCCCTATCGCCCCACAGGCCCACAGAGCAGATCTGGCACGGGTAGCCTGAGCCTGGAAGTGTGGCCAGAGCTGCCCGCCCATCCACCCTTACCAGGGTGGCAGCTGCAAGGCAGCAGCTGGGCTCAGCAGCATTAAGCAAACTTCTCTTGGCTGTACACACAACACTCAGACACCAGCCTGGGTGAGGCCTGGCCAGAAGCCCTTACTGCTTCCAGTCTGGCTGTGGAGTGAAGGACAGAGAGCACAGAGCTCTTTGCCCTGCCCCCACTCTTGTGCTCTGTTTCCTGGGAACTCCAGGGGAGGGAACCAACCATTAATTTGGCCAAAGCCTTCTTGAGGGCTATAGCTTTGAGGGGCTGGGCTTGTGGGGGCCAGCTGTGCTGTAGAGAGAGGCTGGAAGTTAAGAAGGTAGGAGGAATTTCTGCCCCCTTGGTTTGCTCCTTCCTCACAGCTGGACACAGCACCCTGCCCTCTCTTCAAATGACTGCTCCTCAGAGCTGCTTTCAGGGGCAGGGTCCTAACCCTGTGGGTGAGGGTGTGGGAAGAGCCACATCAGCGAAGGTTTACAATGGGCTGTGCTTCCCTAGAATACTCCCAACTCAGAGACAGCAGAGGGGAGAAGGGAAACTCGCTAGCACCTCAGCCTTCCTCTGTTTTCCCTACCCCGCTGCACATTCACACATCAAGACTGACAATCCTGTCTGTGAACTCTGCAATCCCTCCCTCCTTTCTGAACCCTCAGAGACTGCCCTTCTTTGGCCACGCCCTCACTCACCCAGGCTAGACCAGTGCAGCAGCTGCCTCTGGTCTTGCCTCTGCACCTGGGCCTCTGCACTCATCTGTCCCCTCAACCTGGTTCCTACTTCTCCCAACAAGTATGGGACAAGGGAGGTCATCTGCTGAGCAAGCTGGAGAAGGTAATGGGGTGAGGCTGGGAGGACAAAGAGGAGAAGCTGTGGCTATGCTGGAGGCCCAGCTGAGGCGGAGTCTATGGCAGGACCATTGGATGCCTACCAACGGTCACCCCCTCTTGTTCTTTGTTAACAAAACCCCAACTTAATTAGATATTGGCTATTCACGGGCCCTTCTCCAGCCCCCTTGCCATGCATTGATAATTCTAAGCCAACCACGTTAATTCCATTTCTCTGGCCAATGATTGGCTAAGGCTTAGGCATGAGATGCAACCCTGGCCAGTGAGATGCAAGGGGTTGCCTAGAAGGTAGGTTCTCTGGCAAAGTCTTCCTCGTGTTCAAAAAGGGACCCAAGAAGGGGATTTGCCATTTCTTGCCACAGACATTGTCATGTGAGAACTTTATGCCTGGAGTTGAGGCTGCGATCTTATGACATGAGGTAAAAGCAAGGGAATCACAGTACTGACAGCATTGAGTTATTCAACTAACCAGCCCTGGAACTATCCACCTGCTATCTTGTTATGTGATATAATAAACTACCTTATTGCTTTAGCCACTCTTAGTTGGGCATTCTGTTACTTGCAGACAAAGCATTTTAATTGATACTGAGATGGATTTTTAGGTGGCTCCAAATTGTGGAGCTAAAATCGACAAAGTAGGAGGGAGATCCCAGGAAAGAGAAAAGCACATGTAGAGTCACACATGGCATTTATACAAGGAAAAAATCTTAACTTAAAGGCAGGGTCAAGGCCCTCAAAATTTCAGGCAAACTCCTTAATGTTTAGAAATGGAAAAAGATGAAAGGAACAATCTAGGACCTGCCCAGGAATCAAGGGCAATGCCAGAACTAAAACCCAAGTCACTCAACTCCCAGCCCTGACCACTGCATAGCCACTCATTTTCCCAAGACCTGGCTAGGGCCCTGAAAACCCACCATGCCTCTCCTGAGCCTCAAGCCCAGGCTGCCCCTGCACCTACCACGCTGATGAGCTGGGCCAGGGAGAGCTGCAGCTGAATGGAGATAAGCTGGGAGGAGCTGGTGGCTGGACGGATCAGGTTGTTGTAGCGGGTTTTGTTCAGAAGGTATTCTATGAGCTTCTCCTCGGCATTGGCCACACGGCAGACCCCTGGGAAAACGCATAGTCAGACGTGCTGGGTCCTCGTCCAACTGACCCTCACTGCAGCTGATGGCAGTAAAGGGGAGGGCTGAGAGGATCCCAGCTAGGACCACAGGTGCCCTCAGGGCTGGCTGAAGCAGTTATGGTGCTGGCATGCCTGCCTCTCTTTGGGGACTTCAAACTAAATATGCCCAAATCAGAGCTCAGCTCTCTCCATCCATCCTATACCTCGTCCTCTTCCTGTTTCCTCTAGCACTGAATGTATCCCATGTTCCAGACATCTGGTCCAAAAGCTGCCTGTTTATCCTGATCCCTCCTTGGCTCATCTAAGTGGTCACCCAATCCTGTCTATTTGACTTTCCAAGTAGAATGCTGCTCTCCCATTTCTACCCCTCCGGCCATGGCCCTAGTTCACCAACCATGCCCTGGGCTGTTCCCATAGCCTCTTCACTGATCTCCCCACCTCCACTCTGCCCCTCTCATGCATACACCATATTGTACCACAGTGGTCTTCTTTCAGCACAAACTGGGCCAGGGCCCTTCCCTACCCATAACCTCTCAGAGCTGTGGGCAGAGTTAAAGCCAAATGTTTTGGCTTGGCATTCAAGTCCCTTTGCCCCTGGCATGGGCTTATCTTCTCCCCTCTCTCCACATTTACCCCCAGACACTTGAGGCTCTGGCCACACCCTACTGCTTGCCTTTCCCCCATGTGGCCTGCCTTTCCCCGCTGTGTCTCACTTCGAGGTCTTGGAGTACACTCTTTCTCCTGCCAGGATTGCCCCCAGCCAGCCATTCATCAAATATCTGAATGTTTATCTTGTGCCAGGAACTATGTTCTGTGCAGGAGATAGTGGCAAGAAAAAGGCAGAAACGTTTCCTGCCCTCAGGGGGCTTGCAGTACAGTGCAGAAGAGAGATTAACCAAACATGGGTTTTGTTTGCAGAGTTGGATGGACAGTGATTCCTTCACTAAAGAGAGTACAGGGTGGGCAGACGGGGGGAGGAATGTCCTGGGTTCGGACTTGGGCCTGTAGAGCATAAGGTGCCTTGTTGTTGTTAGCTGCTGTCAAGTTGGCCCTGTCTCAGAGCAACCCCAAGCACAGTGGAATGAAATGCTGCCCAGTCCTGTACCATCCCCATGATTGGCTGTGGTTTGGACAATGTTCCATTGATCCATAGGGTTTTCATTGGCTCATTTTTGGAAGTAGATTGCCAGGTCTTTCTAGTCCCTTTTAGTCTGGAAGCTCTGCTGAAACCTGTTTAGCATCATAGCACTATGCAAGCCTCCACTGACAGACGGGTGGTGGCTCTGTATGAGGTGCATTGGCCAGGAATCGAACCTGAGTCTCCCACACGGAAGGCAAGAATTCTACCACTGAAACATCAATGCCTCATAAGATGCCTTAGAGACACCAAATGGAGGGGTCCCGCTGGCATTTGGCTTCTGCTCTGGAGTTTAAAGGAGAGGTCTCACGTCAGAGCAATATTCAAGGCCCAGCTCAAATGCAGCCTCCTTCAGATAGACTTCGGTACCCTGGGGCTCCCACAGCCCCAGATCTGCCCCTCTCCACACCCCCAATCCTTTGCCAAGTAGTATTTGGGTCTTTGTCTCATCTCCCTTACAAGTCTGGGAGTGAAGGTGAGGCTCAGAGACTCAATCTTCCTTATTCTGATATCTTTAAGGAGAATATGTCAGGTTTGGGCAGAGGCCCATCTTGGAAAGAGGAAGACCTAGAGGAGGGTCCAAGGCACCTGAGCAGGGAACCAGGAGCAGGAAAGAGATGGGAGTGGGCAGAGGAAATAGTGTTGGGGCAAGAAGACAGGACAGAAAAGGGTAAAGAAATAAGAACGGTGTGGGGGATGCTGGAGAGGGGCTGCCTGGCTCACTGGGCCCAGGACTCTGATTTCATCCTCCCCTGAAGGGCCAGTTCCATGCGTCTAACTGAACCACACCCTCTTTGGGTGGGGCCAGGGGGCCCAGAGCATGGGTCGGCCTGATTAAGCAGGTCCACGGTAGACTCTTGGGTAGATGCTGGGCTGGACACATGGCCAGGGGAGCAGCTGCCCCCTGCCTGCTGTGGGCACTTTCCAACTCACTGCCTATCTGGAGCAGATGCAATATTTAGTGCCTTGTGAAAAATGCTCCCAGTGCACCTGCTGCCTGCCTTCTCTCCCCCAGACTGCCCCGGGCTATCGGAGGGGGTCCTGTGGTTGCTTGGCCTAGATTCTGAGCCCTGCCTCTTGTACCCTGGACCTATAGTCCACTGAGACTTAACTGCCTCCCACCCCCTGCCATAGGCCAGCTGCTTGAATATCCTGGAAGCCAGTCTTTAGCCCCAGGCTGCAGCTGGGACTCTCCCACAGCCCTTCTTTAGTGTATATATTTGGGCCAACCCCTTATTTCACAGAGTGGGGTGTGACTTGCCCAAGTCCACCTGACTTGTCTGAGGCCACTCTAGGGTCAGAACCTGCAGCTCCTACCCCAGCCCTGGAGTGCTGAGGAAGGCTGGATTCCACATCTCTGCAGCCCAGGAGGCTGGCCCAGCTGGGTTCTGGTAGGCCAGGGCGGCTCTGCAGGCTATGGGGCTCGGGCTCTGGCTCTGAGCCCACCTGGGATGCCAGATGCCCACCTTTGGCCCTGCCTTGCGTCTCAGGCATTCAGCTGGCTCCGAAGGACTCTCTCCCATCCTGAGGACCAGATACAGCCTCCACAGTTAGAGGGTCCCAGAACCTTAAACCATTTAGCCCAACTCTCTATGTCTTAGCTGAGAAATATAAGACCAAAGAGGGGAAGAAATTTATTCAAGGACCCCCAGCAAATCAGTGGCAGAGCCAGGTTTAGGAGGCACTACCTCTTTCAGACAGGCCTGTTGCAGACTACTCACGCCCTCCTTAACTTTCCCTGTGAGAGGACTGTCTACAGAGGCCATAACTGGTGTTGGCTAGAGCCAGGTGTGTGTTCATACCTGTGCCTGTGTTTGTACATGTGTGTGCCAAGGGGTGGTAGAAGGGTGTTATGGATTGAATTGCATCCCCCCAAAATGTGTGTCAACTTGGCCAGGCCACGATTCCCAGTATTGTGTGATTGTCCACCATTTTGTCAGCTGGTGTGATTTTCCTATGTGTTGTAAATCCTCCCTCTATGATGTTTATGAGGCAGAATTAGAGGCAGTTATGTTAAATAGGCAGGATTCAGTCTACAAGATTAGATTGTATCTTAAGTCAATCTCTTTTGAGATATAAAAGAGAGAAGCAAGCAGGGAGACAGGGGGACCTCATACCACCAAGAAAGTAATGCCAGGAGTAGAGTGCATCCTTTGGACCCGGGGTCCCTGTGCTGAGAAGCTCCTAGACCAGGGGAAGATTGATGATAAGGACATTTCTCCGGAGCTAAGAGAGAGAAAGCCTTCCCCTGGAGCTGGCATCCTGAATTCGGACTTTTAGCCTCCTAGACTGTGAGAGAACAGTTTCTCTTTGTTAAAGCCATCCACTTGTGGTATTGCTGTTATAGCAGCACTAGATAACTAAGACGGGGATACCTGCGCTAGTGTGGACTGGAACACACTCCCATCACCCAAAAAGCAGGGGGGTAGGGAATTCCAGAACAGCACATCATGTTTAGGCTTTCCAGCCTGCTGCTTTATGCCTGTGAGGGCTGCTGGGTTCAAGGAACAAGGGACAAGCTTTTTACCCCAAGCTGACAGAGGTGGCCTAGAGTAGGTGCAAGCTTTTGGGTCATAGCTGGGGGTCACATCCCAGCTGGAGAGCTGACACAATTAAACCAACAGGCAACCACTAGGGGTCAGTCATGACCCAAAGATTCTAATGAGGAGTGGGCCTGACCTGCCTCTGGCCAGGGCCTCACTTTCCCCGGAACCAAGCCTCCTCCGAAAGCTGCTCCCCAGCAGAAAAGGGTTACAATTCAAGTAGAAGGCGTAGCTGAAATGCCAACCGTGTAAGTGTGTGTACAGTTTGAAAAAACATATCCGATCTTAAAATCTATATTGAAAAAATGGAAAGAGATACCAATTGTTTTAGAATACACACTACAGAAAATAAAGGTCAAGAGAATCTTCTTGGCAAGTGGGCATCTGAAAGGCAGAGTGATTTTTAGTTGGGGGGGTGTGTTCTTAACTGAGAAAGGGAAAACAAGATTTGTGTTTACTAAAAGTCAGCTGTGGATTAAAAAAACAAAAGCTGAGGTTTTGCATTTACAAAGAGCTCACCATACACTATCAGTGCTTCTCCAACTGTGTGTAAGAATCACCTGGATGCTTGTATAAAGGCAGATTCCTAGGCTCCCTTCTGGAGATTCTGACCCAGTGGGCCTAGGATGAGGCCCAGGAATCTGCACTGGGTGATTCTGGTGTACACTGCCCCCAGACCATTCACATAATAAACCCTGCAACTGGCTCACACAACATCTTTGTTCCCAAGTGTGTAGGCAGGGCATATCATCCCCATGGAACAGATGGGGAAACTGCGACCCAGAGAAGGGAAAGGAATTAGGGTCATTCAGCAAGTGGTGGCAGAGCCAGGACACAAACTTATGTGCAGACACCAACTTGGGTGAGATCTCTGCATCCCTGTAGGAAACTTGTGTGTTTCTCCTACCCCTTCTTCAGCACCTCCTGTAGGCGGTCTCTGTCCAGGGATAAAGAGCCCCCGTTCTCCAAGCCAACTAGGGCTCAGAGGACAAGCTTGGGCAAGAGAAGAGGAGCCGAAAGGCTCTTCAGAGCTCAGGTGGGGAAACTGAAGCCAAGAGAGGGCAATCCTCACCACATCTGGACTCTGACTAGAGAAGGGCTGAGTGGACCTCCCTCCCGGGTGTCAGAGACCGAAGGTTCCTGAGTGACAGGCCCTACTCACCAGCCCAACCCTCAGCCAAGCTGGCTGTCCAGGCTGGCCATCCCCCAGGGTAAGCAGAGGCGGTGGTGCCATAAAGTGTATTTCCTGGAAGATCTGCCCCCTAAACTGCAAGACATTCCAGAGCTGGCGATTTGGGCAATCCCCTTTCCCTCTGGGCTAAGTTTCACCGCCTCTGCAATAGCGGTGTTGGAGGAGACCTCTCGCTAAGGCTGAGGAGAGGGGTTGCTCCCTGGTGTCCACACGGGCAGTTTACCCGCTGCGCTGTGCTCACTCTTCAAGTAAAGTGGCCTCGCCCTGTGGGGATGGGACTCCGAGCCTTCCAGCCTCCCTCTTCGCGCTGGAGGTGAGTGGAGCTGCCTGCAAAGCCAGGGCTACCTAGCCCTGCTGCCCAGGCCAAAGAAAATGGCCCTGGCCGCACAGGAGCGCAGAGAGGAAAGGCGGCCCCCACCGCGAACCTTGCAGACCCACCCACCGTGGCCCGTCCCCACTGCCTCGGCGAGTGGGTTCAGCTCCACCCCTGCGTCCCTCCGGCCGGGACAACCTCGGGCCACTCCCCCACGCAGGGAACCCTCCCTTCCACCTGTGGCCAGTCCAGCCCCGTGCAGCCCAGCCCGGGCGCCCCTCAACCCTTCTCCGAAAAGAACTCACCGCGCCCGTAAAGGGCAACCAGGGAGAAAAGAACCAGGCCGTGGGCAGTCCTCATAGCGAGTGGGAGCCGTGGAGGCAGCCTCGGCAAGCTCAGCTGTCGGACCACCAAGCACCAGCGAGCGGTGACCTGGCTAGTGAGCGCGGGTCCCGGCCTCGCAGGTCTGAAGGCGCGTCGTGCCGGCTCTAGGACCCCGCGGAGAGCCCAGCCTAGCCCCGCAAGGTCTCCAGCTGTGGGCCCCACCCACTCCGGGGTGGGGCGGGGCAGGGGGGACCCCTGGGCGGGGCCGCTTTCTCCGAAGTGGGACAAACTCCTCCCCTGTCGGACTCTCAGTTTTTTCTTTGAGGGTCGCCTGGCTGCGAGCCTTGGTACTTCTTCACTGTCAAGGGCCTCCCAACAGTCCTCAAAGGTAGGTCACAGGACAGCGCCTCGGTTGGGGAAACTGAGGCCTCGAAGGAGGCAGACTGCTGCACAGGTCCCTCCCTTTACTGTTCGGGGAGGTATTACATTCCAGCCCGGCAGTCCCAGGACCTTGCCTACTGACACTTAGAACTCAAAACTGGAGAGGTCTTTCGGAAAATAAATAATAATCTCAAGTTCATACCCATAGGGTTTGCTGAAAGAAAGAGGTCCTTCGAGGAGGAAGCCTGCATGAGAGGGTGCTGTTCTCTGCAGACACTGGAGGAAGGACGCTTAGGAAAAGTGTGGGATTTGGGAGGGTGAAATAGCTCGGATGTCTGTATCCAAGTTGGGAAACGGGGGAAGGGAGCAGAATAAAGGCAGAAGATGGGACCAAAGTGAGCTGGTTGTGTCTGTCCTCTGTCTTGAGCCCCACAACCCGAGCTGACCAGAAGCAGCTTGGGTGACTCGAGGGCGCAAGCACCCCCACCCCTGGCCAGCTGTTGGTCCTCAGTAAGTTGTATATGTAAAAACAAAAGTTGAAATGGCAAATGTTTTGTTATATATGTTTTTACCACAAAAAAAAAAAAAAAGCCAAAATGTAACAACAACAAAAAAGACATAGCCAGGCTGAAAAATAAGATAATCATCTCCATAAACCAAAAATAGAGAAGGGTCAGCGAAAAAGTGGAAGACCCTCAACGAGATGGATTGGCACAGTGGCCGCAACAATGGGCTCAAATATAGCAACCATTGTAAGGATGGTGCGGGACTGGCAGTGTTTCCTTCTGTTCTACACAGGGTCACTATGAGTTGGAACTGACTTGAGGCCACCTAACAAAGACAAAGTGGTCAGGGGGCTGAAGCCTGGGGCCTGATGGACTCTGAAGGCAGTGGCAGGTACTTGGGATAAAGGGGGACTAAAACACTCTTGAGGAGCCCCGGTGGCACAGTGGTTAAGAGCTCTGCTGCTAACCAAAAGGTTGGCGGTTCGAACCCACCCAGTGGCTCCTCAGGAGAAAGACCTGGCGATCTGCTCTCATAAAGATTACAACCTGGGAAACCCTATGGGGCAGTTCTACACTGTTCAATGGGGTTGCTATGAGCTGAAAATCAACTTGTTGGCACATAACAACCACAAAAGACTCTCAGCTAGAAGCTGGGGCTTTGTGTGTACCCCAGTTCTTGAAAGGATGATTGCGGGAGGGGAAGCCTACTACTGATCTGTTTGTGGCCTTAGCTTTATAGGATGTGTATTATGCCCGGTATACCACAGGATGGGAACTTGAAAACGTCATAAAGGCTGGAGGCAAAACTGTAGGACGAGTGAGGTGAGCAAAGGTGGGAAGCTAGGAAAAGAGAGAGGGAGGGAGATGACATAATATCCACTCAAAATAACCTACTTGTGCCACAAAGTAAAGGAAATGCTCAGAGAATAATGGAGACACACTGAAGGGACACAGAAGCCCGCTTGAAGGGGCTCCACTGACCAAATTTGGGACAACTGGAATATTAACATAACTAATGTTTGTTGCTGTTGTTAGCTGGCCTCGAGTCGGTCCAACTCATAACGACCCTATGTACAACAGAATGAAACACTACCCAGTCCTGCACCGTCCTCACAATCGTTGTTACGTTTGAGCCCATTGTTGCAGCCACTGTGTCAATCCATCTTGTTGAAGGTCTTCCTCTTTTTTGCTGACTGGTTCCTCCTGGGAACATGTCCAGAGTATGTGAGACAAAGTCTCAATATCCTCGCTTCTAAGGTGCATTCTAGCTGTACTTCCAAGACAGATTTGTTCATTCTACTGGCAGTCTGTGGTATATTCAATATTTTTGCCAACACGATAATTCAAAGGCATCAATTCTTCTTCAGTCTTGTTCATTGTCCAGCTTTCACATGCATATGAGGCGATTGAAAATACCATGGCTTGGGTCAGGCGCACCTTAGTCCTCAAAGTGACATCTTTGCTTTTTAACACTTTGAAGAGGTCTTTTGCCACAGATTTGCCCAGTGCAATACATTGTTTGATTTCTTGACTGCTGCTTCCATGGATGTTGATTGTGGATCCAAGTAAAATGAAATGCTTGACAAGTTCAGTATTTACTCTGTTTCACATAATGTTGCTTATTGGTCCAGTTGTGAGGATTTTTGTTTTCTTTATGTTGAAGTGTAATCTATACTGACAGCTGTAGTCTTTGATCTTCATCAGTAATAACCCATTGAATAAAATAAGAAACCATGAGCCTATACTGAATTAATGATTTAATTTAAACGTCTAAAGAAAATGCTTGTACCCAAATCCTGCCTCAGGCTCTACTTCTAGGAAAACTCAAATTAATTCCTTTTTTTTTTTAATTGTTGTGCTTTAAGTGTAAGTTTATAGTTCAAGTTAGTCTCTCATACAAAAATTTATATATACATTGTTTTGTGACCTTAGATGCTCTCCCTATACTGTGACAGCACACTCTTTCTTTTCACTCCAGATTTCCCATGTCCATTCAACCAGCTCCTGACCCTCTCTGCCTTCTCATCTCGCCTCTGGACAGGAGCTACCCATTTAGCCTTGTGTATCTACTTGAGCTAAGAAGCACACTCTTCACGAGTATCGTTTTATACCCCATAGTCCAATCTAATCTTTGTCTGAAGAGTTGGCCTTGGAAATGGTTTTAGTTTTGGGCTAACAGAGAGTCCTGGGGCCATGTCTTCAGGGGTCCCTCCAGTCTCCATCAAACCATTAAGTCTGGTCTTTTAACTAGAATTTGAGTTCCGCACCCCACCTTTCTCCTGCTCCATCAAGGACTCTCTGTTGTGTTCCCTGTCAGAGCAGTCATTGTGGTAGCCGGGCACCATCTAGTTCTTCTGGTCTCTGGCTGATGAAGTCTCTGGTTTATGTGGCCCTTTCTGTCTCTTGGGCCAATACTTTCCTTGTGTCTTTGGTGTTCTTCATTCTCCTTTACTCCAGGTGGTTGGGACCAATTGATGCATCTTAGATGGCTGCTTGCAAGCTTTTAAGACCCCAGACGCCACTCACCAAAGTAGGATGCAGAACATTTTCTTAATAAGGTTTGTTATGCCAATTGATATAGATATCCCCTGAAAGCATGGTCCCCAACCCTGCATCCCTGCTACTCTGTCTCTCAAAGTATTTGATTGTATTGAGGAAACTTCTTAGCTTTGGTTTAGTCCAGTTGTGCTGACTTCCCCTGTGGTGTGTGCTATCCTTCCCTTTCCCTAAGATCATTCTTGTCTAGTTTCTAGTTAGTGAACACCCCTCTCCCTCCCTCCCCACCCTCGTAACCATCAAAGAATGTTGTCTTCTGTGTTTAAACCTTTTCTTGAGTTCTTATAATAGTGGTCATATAGAATATTTGTCCTTTTGTGACTAAGTTCACTAAGCATAATACCTTCCAGATTCCTCCATGTTATAAGATGTTTCACGGATTCATCATTGTACTGTATCGTTGCATAGTATTCCATTGTGTGAATATACCATTATTTGTGTATCCATTCATCTGTTGACGGGCACCTAGGTTGTTTCCATCTTTTTTCTATCATGAACAGAACAGTGCTGTAATGAACATGGGTATGCATATATCTATTTGTGTGACAGCTGTTATTTCTCTAGGATATATTCCAAGGTGCGAGATTGCTGGATCGTGTGGTACTTCTATTTCTAGCTTTTTAAGGAAGCGCCAAATCGATTTCCAAAGTGGTTGTACCATTTTACATTCCCAGCAACAGTGTATAAGTAAGTGTTCCTGTCTCTCCATAACCTCTCCAACATTTATTACTTTGTGTTTTTTGGATTAATGCTAGCCTTGTTGGGATGAGAATATCTCATTGTAGTTTTGATTTGCATTTCTCTAATGGCTAATGATCATGAGCTTTTCCTCATGTGTCTGTTAGCCGCCTGAATGTCTTCTTTGGTGAAGTGCCTGTTCATATCCTTTGCCCATTTTTAATTGGGTTGTTTGTCTCTTTGTTATTGAGGTTTTGCAGTATCTTGTAGATTTTAGAGATTAGGCACTGATCAGATTTGTCGTAGCCAAAAATTTGTTCCATCAAATGAATATGTTTTTAAAAATAAGTATGAGATAGGAGGTGGTGGGTAATGGAACTTATCAAGATATCTAGACATAATACAACACCATAGAAATTAAGACAGTGAAGTGTTGTCATGGAAATTGACAAAAAAACTAGTAGAAGAGAGCAGGAAACCATCGGAAGACCCATACACACAGGAAGACAAGATGAGACAGAGGTTGCCTTGTAGATAAGTGGGGCAGGGATGGAATACTCTATAAATGGTGTTGGGACAATTGCTTATCCGTTTGGAAAATAAGTACAATTAGATCCCAAGCTCACATCATACCAAAAATAAATTCCAAGTTGATTAAAGATCTAATTGTGAAAAGCAACACCTTGAAAACTTTTAGGAGGAAATATAGGGGGATATCATTATGCTTGGGGTAGAAAGCAATTTCTTAAAATACTAAAAGTATTCGCCAAAAAGAAAAGCATTGACAGATCTGACTTCACTAAACCTGTTTAAACTTCAATCCAAACAAACATACCACAAACTAAGGGTATTAGTTCCCTAGGGCTGCAGTAACAAAGTACCACAAATCGGGTGGCTTGTAAAAACAGAAATGTA